TGTGTCCGACGATAACGAATTTTCAGGCCACAGCGGGCTCTGCACAAGCGTGTTGTATTTGCTGTATCCGCGAGTATGTGGCAACATCTCAGTTAAGCGACGAAAACCTGACGATGGTCATCACCCGGTGTTTCCCCAAATGGACGAAGTCGGGTAATGCTGCATCGGCCGAGGATACTGCGGCGGCGGCGGCGGCAAAGGCACTGCAGGGGAGAGGTTGAATCCACCCTGTTGAAAGTGCAGCCCCGATTGTGGTGAAAGAGCAGCGGGAGCCATCTCCGCATTCAAGTAGAGTGACTCCTGTGGGTACGCAAATGGTTGATGGTTCACTGCATTTAATGCAGTCTGATATGGAGGCGAGCTCTGGATTGTACTAGCTGAGTGGCGATGGCCGGGACCGGATGATCGTGAGGCGGAGTGACTCGTGTGAATGTTTGATGGATCGTGCGTAAACTCAAAGGAAGGTGACCACGGGGACTGTGAATGTGCAAAAGAAGACATGGGCGGAGGTCGGTTAGCGGAGTGTATAGCTCGGTTGCTTGTCGTCGATAAATTGTGCTCAACACCGTAAGCAGGCAGTGCCTGGTTGGTCAACAAGGGTCTAGGACTGAGATTTGGCGGGTTCTGATCAAGAGTCCTTGACCATATAGAAGGTGGAGCGTTCGAAGGCCCAGAGCCGAAAAGAAATTGAGATGGAGGTGGGATAGACTGACGGCGGGGAGATCGTGCAACATCACCACCAGCTTGGGAGAAACTGTTCAATAAATCCTGAGCTGTTGTTCCTGTGAAGGCAGAAGGCGGCGATGTCGGGGCCGCACGACCTGAGGACACAACTGATGTACTGGGGCTCATGAAGTTGCCGTTTATCATGCTTGACGACAATACAGGTGTCGTTGGCAGGGCCGGTACTGCTCCCGGCGGCGAAGTGGAGGCCCTAGATATCACATCAGACACGTTGAAACGAAACAAGCAAAATTTGACCTTGGATCCCAAACTACGACGTCATCATCCAGTTCTTCATCTTCATCTTGTGACTCGGCGTTAAGTACAGTCCTGAATGCGTCTTCAACCGGATCATCGTTGTCAGTATGCCCTGTATCGGTTATAGCATCGTCCTCCGCACAAGTCTCCAGTGGCATCAAGTCAAGAACATCAGGACATAAGACTATAGGTGTAACAGGCATATTTACAGCCTCTGCACCAATTGCCTTTGCCTGAGATTGAGCATCAGGTGCAGTGGCAGTGATTTCAAGCACGAAAGTATCACCCCGCAGGTGGATTGGAGAATCCTATAGTAAGGTAAGCCCGATTAATTCAAAGGCAGAGCAATCGGCCCTCACTGGTGATTCCGCGAGATTCTTGAGGTCTTTGAGCAAATCAGATATCCTCATCAATTGTTCTTCGTTTGGGTGAACGCTCTCGCGGCCCTGCGGCCCAATGGTGGCCGATCCATTCCCCTTGTGTGTATCAGCATCCACAATCTTGGGAGTATCGCCAATCATGAGGCTCCGCAGTGGAAGAAAGCCCCTAAGGTCGATGTCCTCATCCAGCGGAGAGAGCAACGAAGGTAGCTTCTCTATTGGGAATAACTTGTATAGGGCGTTGTAAAAAAGTAAGAAATGCTGCCAAAAGACTGGCATATCTGAGACGGATACCCCTGGAATTTCCTCGACCTGGGTTGACCCCGTAGGGGGTGTGGCATGCGCCACATACTTGAGATTTGCTAACAACCACTTGCTCGCAACACGCAATGCGGGTAGAGTGCGCCTGAATGCCGCAGTGATGCGCTGCGCAAGGTCATTTTCAGCTGCATCTTCTGGTGGAAAGCCAAGTTCCTTAGCGCCGATCTCCAGGAGAGACTGGTGAATGGCAAGAACATGCTTCAGAATCTGGGATTCGACAGTAACTGGGTCAGGAATCCCTCCGGATCTCCTATTCGAAGGTGGAGATGTGTCCCGGATCATGCGATGTTTCCAAAGTGCTCCCTCTGAGAGAACGATGACCTTGGTCACGGCATCAATTGGAAGAACGCGCTCTGAAACAAGAGCCGTGAAATCCTTGACGACATCTGCTGCATGCACAATGGGATTTAACCTTGATCTAAGCGGAATTATTTCATCTCAACAACTGAATTATCGATCGAATCCAATCACTCACTTATCTGAACCTAATCGCCACAGTGCGTGCAATAGCACAACTTTCTCCTTAAAGGACTCGACTCTCAAGCGTGGTGGTAAATCACCAAGGTCGGGAGCCATTTGTACTCCTTCCCGTGTCCTCTTCGCTTGCTGATCGAGCGATTTATTGAGAATTTTCTTGACGTTCTCGGATGCAGTGTCATAAGGCTGACGAACGCATAGCGCTCTATAGTAATGGAGAAGCGAGCTGAACATGTCATTCTGATAGAAAGCGAGAATGGCCAGCTGATGTGATGGATTGCCCTCCGAAGGGACCAAAAGGCGCGCTTGATCGTAGCACTGAACAGCTTTGTCGTAGTTCCTGGCGCGTGGTATTGAATCAAAGCTCATAGCGCCGCCTCTTCTGTTGCGGCCGCCTCGTCTAGCTGGCCCTGAGCCGTCTTCCTGACCGGCTCGCGGACGCCCTCCACCTTCGTTGTAAAGCTCCCGATATCGTGCCATGTCACCTAAGCATACTATCGCCTTGCTAAGAATCGCGAGATTAATTTCACGTTCGGCAGAGCTCATAGGAGAAGGCGTATTGCCTTCGATGGGAAATTGAAATTGGTTGCGACCAAAACTGGAGTTTGGGACACCTTCGTGTCCCCCAATGGAGCCATTGGGAGTACCAAGGTCATCTGGAATCGTAATGTTCAAGATAGAAAGTATATGCTGTGCTTCGTGAAGTCCAAAAGATCGCTGGTATCGAGCTACCAGTTGTGTCCAAAATTTCTCTTCTTCAGCAAGAAACTGGCGGAATCGTTGCATCAGTTTGCGATACTCCACTGGGCCATGATTACTCTGCCTGGGCTGATGGCGGGGTGCTGATTGCAGCGTTCGATCGAGAGTTGCGACATTCTGTTTGTAGTTAGAAATAAATTGATAAGATGTCTGCATCCAAAGATGAGTCTCGGCATCTTTTGATTCCTTGGCGTATGGCTCGACGAATAATAGGCGAAGATACAGACGTCGGAGACTACAGACACTGTTAGGAACACCAGTCAAAAAAGAATTTTGGGATGGGAGTACCTCTTCCTTTGAAACTCAACCTCTCTATCCCATGGAAGGTGAGCTTTGAGAAGCTCTTTCAGACTTTGGTGGGTTGATTTTGCCTCACTAAGTTGAGAATCAGTTGGGGGTCAACGAAGTTGAAGATAGCAGCCAGCACCTTGCAAGCTGGGAAGCGGAATCGGTCATTGTATATAGCGTGAGCGCGTCTAGATGGACTATGTGTCCATTTTTTTCTACCTTCACGGACGTCGAGGACAAAATCCAGCGCTCAAAAGTCGTCTGCGATGATGAGCGACCGTGAGACAAACCGGGTGCTCACATAAGTTAGTGGACATAACCTTGATTAGACTACTACTAAAAGGTTTGGCCCTGCCAACTTTTATCTTGCTCCGCGGTACGTTGCTTTATTTCTGCACCGCGAATTTATTGCGAACGTACTATAGTCTGGAAGTTTACAGGATGATGTTGACATTCATGTTATATGAAAGTGTCAGCCACTTTAGCGACCAGTGATACTATAACTGTATGTGTACAGTTACGGTGATCTTGAGTCAGCTATGAGACTCCCTAAATCCTTTTGTCCTTTATTCTGATTCACGCCTTGGAAGCGCCTCGGAAGAACTAGCACGTGTATACCTTTTTTGCCTATGGTTCATTGAGCGAGTCGTCAGGATTGGTGCGTTTATAATTGGACTCGTGATGGCTGAGCGCTGAGAATCCAAGTCCAGTGAGCACGGCGTATTGCCAATTACATTACGAAAGATCCGTTGCGCATGCCGACACGCTTGCGTTAGCAGAAGATTTGACAGAGGTGAGGCCTCGAGATCTCGTTTAGCCTCATTGAATGCGAACACAGCTGGCCCGTGGAATCAACATTAGATTGATAAGCGACCACCTGAATATTAAATATTCAATATCAGAGGGTGCATGCAACTTGAACATGGTGAAAGGCTTACCTATAGTACAGCCTAGCTGAGACTAGGGTTCGCGTTGCCAACTTCTGACCTTGGGGTACTCTATAGTTTCATGATCTCACGTGATCACGCTCATATCAGGTGACTGACTCCATCTCAACATGAGTCACATGTAATCACGAACATGACCTTGAGGAGCGGCGTACTAAGCCAAGATCCGCAGTCTGACATTCACGTTTCCACCTGCACTCCCTCAAGATATTTGGATACGCCACCAGCGAGTCTAGAATGCGTTCAAGTTTCTTATCTAGCAGGTAGCCACGTACATGGACATCTCCGATGCTTGTGCTTGACCCTCGCCGCTGTCTTACTACTGGAATTTTCTGTGGACTGGCAACCGTATCAAATTCTAGTCGGTCCGGTTCCGTTGACACCGTGATCAGCAGCTGATTTCCTTCAAGGAAGCTAAATTATATGCGCGATTAAGAAATCTACGCGGCACTTTTCGCCTTGATGGGAGAATACGTTTGTTCTGACTGCGGTAAGCTGTCTTTTTGGCAATTTCCTCACGCTCAACTGATTGACGCCCACCTCCAAAGATCCATGACTCTCCCTAGGCTATTTATACGCTCGACCTTCTACAGAGGCATCCTTGCGAGAGTTTACCTTCGCACACACGATCGCAAGGAATCTCATGAGTCCTAGTCGTGCCCTGCATTGCACTTGCATAGTGGGACGTGCCTTGTATTTCACGAACCGAAGCATATAGCACCGGGGGCTGGAACCGGACAAACAGCTTCCTTCATTTGTCGAAGAGGGGCCCTTACCACGATTCTCACATCCCGCACTTTCGCTTCAGTTTGGTTCGATTCGGACCATCCATAAATGAATCTGACGGATCGAAGACGCTTGAGGGTATAGTTTGGTAAAGTTGTTACTCCTGCGCCATCGCACTTAAGCTTGTGTTCGTGCCCTGGAATCTTTCAATAAGACTTTTTCGGGATAGATTAAGTAACCAATCTTGGATGTGAGTTCATGTTCCATCCCCACCAAAATGTAGTGCTGAGACATCTTATTCTTGCTTGCTTGAATGGGTTTGATTGTCAATAGAACACGTTAATTCGGAGAATTATTATAAAAGCCTCCAACCACTATGCAGCATATCTCTCCCACCATTCACCGTAACTCGAAAAGAGACCCGTCGTTCTCGCCGACCCCGACACTAGCCGTTTGTTACACTCAAAAGGTGCCAGCTCACCCACTTCCGTACCCGTCCTGCACCCGATGCCCCCATTCTACGAAGTAGCTGTTGCCCGTTTTGGACAATCATCCTCGAAAGCCAAATGGGTAATCGTTGTCGTATTCACACCATCTACCCATTCATTGGTCTATCAAATCGCTGGCTCAGCGGTTGACTACAGCCTCGAAGCACCACAATCAGTCACACTCAAAGATGGGGAGAATGGTTATTTGGGGAGAGCACCTATAGGATTAGTGGACTCCGAGAATCTACATCTGCTCCACACCACACTCGCATCCATTCCTGTTGTTCGGGGAGATGCCTCCTGGAGCAGCCACAACTGGGTCATGGAGGGTATAGCTGCTCTTCGGAGAGTACAGGGATATCACATCGACAAGCACGTGTCAATGCAGTGGATATCAGAAAAGCTAGGAGGGAAGTAGCTCGGGTCATGAGTGACCGAGGGAGAGCCCGTTTGCCGTCATCAAGATCTCTGAATGAGGGTGGAGAGGGATAACTATATCGGGGACATTCAGGGCAAAACACATATAGAGGGTGGAATGATAAGTGTATTTTGGGACACTGTATCATTGCAGCGGATTGTACTCCTGTCACAAGTATTCCAGTAGAGCTTATCGTGTTCGTCAACGGAGCGTTGGTATAGGCGTATACCATCGACCGTCGTGTTATTTGGCTTCGTGCCTGCAAGCTATGTAGGATATGCAATGCGTTATTGATGACTGTACATCGGATCTTTGCAAGCGGTGCGAATCAGAAGTGCGCTGGCAAACGCTGTCAAATTGCCTGACAAAAATAGTGACTTTGTAAGCACCGACATTTGTGGCACCGAAGAATAAATAACGACACCCACTTGCCGAAAATACTCACGCCCGTGCAAACCTGGATCCCATGTAAACACGTAATGATATCTTGCAAAGTCTGAACAAACCACTATATATACCGATGGTTTGATGATGAGACAAACATAGAGAGTGACTTTATGACTGCTTCACAACAGGCAACACGCGTCGCAAAATTGAGGTCACTACAAGTTTGTGTCCAAACGAGTGAAGGAACATCAATCATAATCATGTCGGCAACGGAAGCTAAAGCCTTCATTAAAGCATCAATCTACTACGAGCAAAAATAACCACTCACTACATCATTTAGTAAAGGTGATCATTACCACGTAGTTTTCGTCATTTGCACAATTCAAAAGCTCACATCAGGATTGACTGTCAACTTCCCAGGGTTTCTTCCGCACCAAAGCTATGGAAGTGCTGGGAGGTGCGTCCTGGAAGGGTGTGATGACCACGTATGTAATGTCTAATCATGCGACAAACTTACATTAAGCGTCTCGGGGATGACCTTGTTATTGGGTATGTTATCTGTCTTCCCCTGTTGTATCAACATCGTCAACTCGGCGAACGTCAGCATACGAGTTTCGCCGTCTCCAGAATCCGAGGATGGAGGTGATAAATCCATGGTCACAGTCAGATTTTGAATGTCCATGGTATTCTGATGGGACCGAACATCCTCTACGGTCAAATTTTGACCGGCCACCCTGTTAAAGTAAAACAGCTGCGTTCGAAGGATGATTTCGACCCTTTCGGAATCTGTCTTGCCACTCAGTGCACCATGCGCAAGTAGGTCCGCTAGACCTTGCTTGCCAAGTAATTTTAAGAAGATGTACGCATCTCAACAAGCAAGCACCTACCTGATAAACTTCGTCCGAGGAGAATGGAAAGGTGAAGAAACTACGCAACGCAGTTTCTTCCCTGCTAGTCTCATTGATATCAGAGAAATTAGTTCCGTCCCTATGGAGCAAGTAAGCGTTGTAAAAGCACGGGTGTCATTGTGAGTTTCACATGAAATTTGTAGAAACAAATGAACGGAGCAAGTTGTTATTGAGGTGTATCGGTCTCCGAGAAAATCGACGATTAAGAGTTGATCAAAAGATATGTCTCAGTCCTGCCGCCGGTCACCGACCCTTTTCGAAGCGCCGACTGAAGTATTACATAACACACTTTCGGACCGTGTAACGTTGACAGCACACGACAACCTTTCTCCTTTCACTGTAAATGATGTCTTCGGGAATCTCTAAAATCACAACTGAGCGAAACCAGCGTACTTTGCTGGAGTTGGTAATGCAGCCAGGGAACGGTAATGCTATTTCTCAAATTATTCGACCATGAACTTATTACTATTCAAGACATCTGTGCAGATTGTAAGTCGCGGAACCCGCGATGGGCTTCTCACAATTTGGGCATTTTTATATGGTATGTATGACACACAATTCAGCTGTGTACTCGCAGACGTTCATCAGATGCAGCGTCAACTGCGCGAGCATCCATCGCAAGCTTGGTACCCATATTACGAAAGTGTGCGTTAGAAAGACACATAATTCTGCTTTCGATTATTAACTAGCAATTTTGCATAGAAAGAGCATTACCCTGGACGCATGGACCAAGGAACAGGTCGAAGTAGGCATTCTCGTATCTGCTAACATGAGAAATCTCAAGCTCGGAGAAATTCTCTTCCTGTTCACAGGTCATGAAGCAAAGCGGAAATATCAGATCAAACGCCATGTACAACCCTGACGAAGCTCGCCACCCCCCACCCACCAATATGATGGAGGCAGAACGAGATAGCGAAATTGAGAAGTTCATCCGCGGTCCGCGAGCCTTCTTTAAATTTGTCTGTATATGTCTGATGTCTTATTGCAGCCAAGTACGAGTTTAAGTGGTTCATGAACTGTAAACCTTCCAAATTCGTTTCACCTGCTCGTCCATATTCCAATGCTGTGACTACACGGCCAAAGTCCACTCCTACGGACCCTGCCCCATTTAAACGCAAGACCTCTCCTCCTCCTCCTCCAGTTCCTGCCAAAAATGTCACCCTTCCTGGCGCATTATCTCCAGGATCTACACCCGTGCAACCCGCGAGATCCATCTCCCACCCGTTGCCTACACCCCGTTCCTCTGTTCCGAGCCAGAAGCTTTCTGGGAGCCAACTTTGGGATGATTTAATTTCGTTACAGGGCCCTTCGCAATTATCTTCCCTTCCTTTGCAGTACCAGTCGCCGAACCCCGATTTCTCATCGCTTCCTTCCCAGTCCCACTCTATGCCCCTTGCCCAGACAACTCTTGGTGTCTCGCCCACTCTGTTCTCGACTTTCCAGGCTTCCCACATGATGCCCACGTCGATGTCATCGATAGGGAATGCCACTTCAGTTACACCCATGCATACCATAGCTGCTGGTGCGACTACAATCGCAAATCCACAGACTCCGTTCCAATATCAATTTTCGGGCTATTCATCTTCTAACACTTTCAACTCGTTTCCTCCACAGATGAGTGCCGAGGTTTCAAGCGGGACACCCGCTGCGGCGCCTCTACCTCAGCAGAATTATTTCGCTCAATCATTCGGACAACCCTCTCAGTCAATGCTTGGTCATATGCAAGACCCCAGCTTGATGTATGCACAACCGCAATCACAAGTAGTTCAACAACAGTACTCTTCGCAACCGCCATTTTCTGCTACACCAGCATTTGTAGCGCAGCAGCAGCCGCCGTTTATGAATAACACATCTTATGGAGGGTGGCAGGGTATGCATGGCAATTTTTAATGGATAATTAAACAACAGACTCTGGATGTCCCCTTGATTCGAACTCTCAATATTCCTACACCCTTGCGATGTAGATATGCTTAGTTGCACTTTAATACTCATTCAAAGCGTCGATTCTTGCACTGGAAAATTATGTGTTAGGTGTGTTCTGCATGTCCCACATGTCATGTCATATGCCGCAGTTCATTAGGGCCAACGACAGTGATGTCCTCCTTGAAGCTTGAAAGCGGCTTGAATTCTTGAATCTGGATAGTTTTCCCAATATAACATTGACTCGACCCGCCCTTATCATTGTTGCGCACTCGGAAAAAAAATCCAACTGTGGAAAGAGGACCTGTGGGTACCTCATGGTCAGGTTGTCTTGGTGCTTCTGATGCGCATTGATTTGATTATAGTAGTTCGAAAATAACCTCGGGGATCTCCAATCTCTTGTTCCAGGATACTTTATGGGAATCTGGAACTCCACCGTGCACGAGGTTATATGCAAAAGTTTTTTCTTTCAGCATGTGTATATTCTTCCGATTATTGACATGTCAGAAATTGGTGGTTATGGATTTATCGACAGGTGGACCAAGTTTTTTATAGGTGATTGCAGCGGCGGATACAATATTTGGTCTGTTCAAAAATGACTGATGGCCTTATCATTCACACAGATACACGCAATGGAGCCCCAGAAGATGGGATCGTTATGCTCTCCTTCCGGCGTGCGGCACAGCGAGATGCCAGGGGTGTGCAGATTGGATACGATTCTCTTATTGTCCCTGACTCGCGTCCGTTAACAGCAATGCGGCCTGCATTACCGCGGTGCCGGACAATCCAAGAAAGGAAAACGAAAAGTTGGTGAGCTTTGCTTCCGTTTGAAGGCTAGGCTGTTGCCATGGACCCTTCGTTAATATTTGAGACAATGTGGCCATCGAAGTATGATGAGATAGCTTGAATTCTTCACGATTTTATATCGATCCCTTTCTTAAGATGACCGATCTGCGTTGTTTTTCTTTCGTATACCCTTGCTACGATAGCAGATATATAAATTTAATGGGTAACTAGAGTGGATGGCGGTTTGTGAGAGAAATTATCGGTAAAATTTTGAGACATCTTAAGCAAAGGGTTTACGATGCGACACAGGGGCGACTTGGATGGAGAAATGTTAAATACCTTAGCCACTCTCGTGGAGCAGCGTCAGGCTCGGGCTCCTTCGTCAGTCCACCGGTCACTGCAAACTCCCGCTGCACTTCTTTTTACTGCAGCTGGATCTACCTCATGTTCTACATAGACCAATTCTAGACCGGGTGTTTTTTTTCAGATATAAATACCGTTAATTATGTAATGTACCGTTGCCTGTTGTAGCGTTGTGGCGGTGCGATAAGCAATTCGGAAAAAATAAGTCATTTCTGATTGTATTTCTTTGGTGCACAACGACAGCCTGGAAGGTAGTTTTCGGTTGCACGATGACCAGCATGTCCCTCCCTCCGGGAACTGCACCCATAAAACGACAGTACGTTTTTCGGGCTTGTCACTGCCTTTGAAATGGTTCACCGTCCGTAGATTCCTATTGTCCCCTGCTACTCTTCCTACGGTTGATGATGATGCAGCGGAAGGTTCAACAGCTCACACTGGAACATCACGTGTGGATGCGGTAGATACAGACCCAAGGGGCACGGGTGGCCGAAAAAAGTGGACCAAGGCGCAAAAGAAGGAAAAGCGTGGTGCCAATAAGGGTCGCAAGTTTGGCAAGGTACACGATCAACTTGAGCTATGTTGGAGAGTCGCCAATGGGAAAATATGCGAGCATGGAGATGAGTTCGTGTATTTGTTCTGCCACCTCTCAGGATATCTCTTATGCTGTGTAGATGTCGCTTTACGCATGACATCGACGCGTATCTGGCAGCAAAACCGAGGGACATTCGATTCCCTTCAATTACGACAATATCAGATGTTTTTCCTTTTATCACAGGCACGGAGAAAGATGATTCTACTATGGCTGACGATAATCTTTCTTCGCTGGAACGACACACATCATGTCCCTCCTTTGCAGAATCGGGAGTCTGTCGTCTAGGACTCAAGTGTCGTTTTCTAGGAGCTCACGCTAAGCGTGATGTCAGCGGGGTAATAACGCTCGTCAAAGATGAGGAGAAGATGGCTCAGACAGCGCTGAGCGCCACCGAACTCAATTTTGTTAGTGCAGACACCTTGAAGCTACTTAGGTCCAAGAAGGTTAGATCCTCCTGTCGACCCCTCAGACACCATCCTGCATACCTTTTTGATCGCTACTTGCGTTGCAGTATCCTATGCCAATAACCGACGCATATCTCAAAGAACTGGAGGCTGCTAAAGAAGAATCCAATGGACCGGAAGAATATGTGGCTGTCGGCGAAGATAACGTGGCCACGGATGATCCTCCATCTATTTCCTCAGGACTCGTTGCAAAGCGCACTGGAAATTCTGATCCCAGTGCTCAGACTGATACTCCAGATGTTCTGATCCGCGTACAAGAGAAACGAAGGCTGAACTGGAGTGGTAAATCATGTATGATAGTCTCTTCTCAATGACTTAAAACAAATTAACCGAATACTTATGGTCAGATCTCGCACCGTTAACAACGGTCGGCAACTTGGTATGAATGTCGCTGCCCAAACAATAAACCAGTTGACCAAGTATCTCAGCCATTCAGACGCCTATGTACGACACTCGGAGCGGATATAACATGTGGCGAAAGTGCGTTATTACTTCTTGTCACTTTTCTCCTCTCGTTCACATAATATCTCACGTCATTCAATATCGTGCACTGATATTGCAACCCTCATTCAGTGGGCCTTGCGACCTCATTTCTCACCGCTTCTGCGTCTGAATTCTCGCTCGTTCGGCGGCATCCATCGGAGACCATGTTCGGAGTCCAGCTTGCAGGAAATAAACCCAGCTCATTAGTCCCAACTGCCGAAGTCCTCGGACGCGAATTTGGTGATTCAGGAGGTATAGACTTCGTCGATGTGAACTGTGGATGTCCGATCGATCTTGTCTTCAAAAGCGGAAGCGGGAGTGCTTGTGAGTTCTCTGGCATGTGGCCTTCCGGAACGATAATAAAGATAATTGGATCCGTAGTACTGGATGCACCAGCAAAACTGGGCAAAATTGTCACTGGGATGTCCAGGGCGTTGGGCGAAATTCCGGTCACAATAAAGCTACGGACAGGTGTCAAGGACGGTCGTAATAATGCACATAAGATCATGCTACGCGCTGCCAAAGATTGGGGGATTGGTTGTATCACAGTGTGTCGCTATGATTTTCCCTTGATACCTTGTCAGTTCATGCGACAGAGAATAGCTTCATGGCCGTACACGTCAGCAACGGTATACGAAATTGGCTGATTGGGAGTACATAAAACAATGTGTTGATGCTGTGCGGGCTCAAGAGGCAGATGAGGGCCGTGAGTTCCATCCACTTCACTCGCCTCTACCATTCTGACGGTTGCCTGTCGGTTTTGACGCAACACCTACGGTACATTCATCCAGTATCTCCAATTCCTATTTTCGGTGGTGGCGATTGCTTCTCGTCGCATGATTACTGGACCAATGTTTCATCCACTGGCGTGGACGGAGTCATGATTGGACGGGGAGCACTTATTAAACCATGGATTTTCACGGAAGTGAAGGAGCACCGAGAATGGGATATCAGCTCGAGGGAGCGACTGCAGTTAATTGGCAAGGTAATCTTCCGTTTCCTTTCTCTATATCCGACCTGGCTCATATCTTCAAACAGTTCACTGAATTTGGATTGAGGTTTGTCTTCTGTTCAATCCAAAGACAATAACTAGCTAAGTCTGCATCTTCAGTCACTTCGGTACAGACACAACAGGTGTGAACACGACACGCCGATTCCTCTGTGAAGCGCTTTCATTTCAATACCGTTATGTTCCTATTGGGCTACTCGAACGACTCCCGGCCAAGATCAACGACCGAGCGCCAACATTCAAAGGGAGAGATGAATTAGGCATGTGCTTTATCTGTTTTGTGGGGACTGAAAATTAATGTTTATCACGAGTAGAAACACTCCTCGCAAGTCCGAATAGCCAGGATTGGGTCAAAATCTCGGAAATGTTCCTCGGTCCTGCGCCCGAATCGTGGTCGTTTACACCGAAGCACAAGAGCAATGCGCACGGTGAAGAGAGCCAGGGTTGATAATCTTTCGTAGAACAAAATGGGAGCTCCTCGAGAAGTAATTTCCCAAGTCATTGGGCTGTACAATCTACCTCTGCCATAGTCCCTTCTAGGCAGACCTTAGTCGAATGAAGATAGTCATTCCTGCTCTCTATTCAACCTCTGCTCCCTTTGCCACACATATGTGCAATGTCTTGACTACTCAGAAAAGGGGGCAGCTTCTAGCTTACTGTGTTTTCTTCGTCTCTCATTCTCCGCCCGAATCTCCCTCTCCATATCATCCAGAAGTTTCTTCTTTTCTTCATCTTCCCACCCACCCTCGGCCTTCCACTTTTGAGGCATGTGCATATGCACGCCCATGTGCGCCTTAACGGCACCCGACCACCCGCCCTCACTTGGTTCCCTTATCGCCCTGTCCACTAGCAGTTGCCTCGGGGTCATGAGCTCTCGGATATGTGCAGGCGGTGCGCCTCGCCGGCGTTTAAGGGTAGTAGCAGTAACTTCACCAGAGCGTTCACGCTGTCTTTGACTCGTTTTGTTTGTCACCCTGTCTCTGCGTGCTTGTTTGCCTTGCAGTACGAGTCCAGCAGGTGGTGTAGCACGATACCGTGAGATATCGCGCATCATGCACTCCTTCAGTTCAGCCTGGCGCTTGAGAAGGGGCTCATCTGACTTACCATACGTTGTTAACGTTATCAACTGCCCAGATAAATGCAGAGCTCACCCCACTGAGATTTTGCCTCTCCCGTGTACACTGGGGTCCACGACAGGCGCTCCTCACGAAGCAATTGAACAACCTCCTCTGCAGATCGATTGGCATGGTCCCCCAGTATCTTGCCCTTCATGTGCCGAGCCGCACCCACAGCCTGGCCTTGTGCACTCTTGAGCAACGCGTACTCGAAGAGACTCTCATACCGTAAGTCATGTGCCCAGCTCTTCAATGTTTCCCGTTGCTCCCATCGACGCTCGCGCGCTC